CCTTATTTTTTTATTTTTTATTTTTTTATTTTATATAATTTTTACATCATTTTTCATTTTTGTTCAATGTACGCATTTTCATCTTGGTTATAGTCCCTACAATTCCCACCCCCCGTATTTTGACCCTAATCCCTCCTCCCTCCCACCCCCCCCATAGTGTGTCTCTGGTTCATAGCTGCTTGTTGATTTTGATTTTTACTCTTCCATTCTTTTTGCATTCTGCTGACGTCCCCATGACACTGTCCTTACAAGCCCAGTCTCTCAGCCCAGGTGTACCCACCTACGTATGTCCACACCCTGCTCCAGGTGCCCGCCATCAGGCATGCATTCAGGACCACAGGGTTCCATCATCAATCCTGATGGGAGGGCAAAAAAGCCTGATACCTTTTATTTACCCTACAGGAGGTTTCTCAAAATATTAACAGTAGATTCAACATATGATCCAGCAATCCCACTCCTAGTTATCTCTCTGAAGAATACAAAGACACTAATTTGAAGTGATATGTGCACTCCTATTTTCATTGTAGCACCATTTACAATAGCCAGGTTATGGAAATAACCTAAATGCCCAACAAGAGACGAGTGGATAAGGGAGATATGGCATATACACACAACAGAACATTTCTCAACTATAAGACAAGATGAAATCTTGCCATTTGCATCAACATGGATGGAAATGGAGAGGATTATGCTAAGCAAAATAAATCAGAAGGAGAAAGACGAATACTAGATGATTTCACTCATACATGGAATATAAAAAAAAAAATAAAAGAATACACAAAAACAAACCCTTAGAATCTGACTAGCACTGACGCTACCAGAGGAAGAGGATGGGTGAGAGCAAAGTGGAGGGGCCCAACAGACTGTGTTGGAGGAATATTGAAGCTTTAGTGGTAGGTGTCATGTACAACATGCATTTGAAGAGGTGTAAACCTATACCCCTAAAACATATACAGGGTTGTAAACCAACATTATCTCAACAAAAATAAAAAGAAAATTAACTTGAAACACAACCACTTATAAAAATATAAAGGATTCAAGGCTCAGCACATTCCAAGATAAACTATAAACATTCTTGTCATTACAAAGCTACTTTGCTAAATCTCAAATCTTGTTTTCTATCTTCCACCAGCAAAATAAATGTAAGACAGATTTAGCAGTGTCTATAGCAACCATATTTTATCCTTTCAAGAAACCAAGTGGGTCATACATGACAACATGCTAAAGCAATAATGAAAACTTGTTGGAACAAATTATATCTACTCTGGAAAAACTGGAAAAAGAAGATAGGAGACTCTTATGTTCAGTTTTATGGAAAGGTACAAGGTAAATAAAATGCCCCTTAAAATAGAGAGAACGAATTATCGGCATGCAAAAGACAAAAATCAGTGTGTATCCTAAAATCTAACTATAGAAAAACTATTCCCCTTTAGAAGCTTGATATTCTTTTTTTTTAATTAATCAATTAATCTATTTATTTATTTATACAAGCACTGGGTACAGTCAGAGGCACGGGAAGGTGAGAGAATTCACCAGAGCCAGAGCGGAGAGTAGAACAGGCAGACTGATGAAGTACACTGCTGAGGGCAGCAGCGGGCGGCAGGAGAGGTCTGCACACCATGTTGGACCCTCGCCCGGCGGCTGGGGATCGAACTGGCACTGCAGAGGCTGTGGGCAGCTTCTCAACCCAGCGTTCAACTGCTGCACCACCAGGGGAGGCCCCGATATTCTTTTTTTTGTAAATTTGCTTTTTTGTATTTAACTCTTCAAAGCAGCGGCTACTTATTTTAGCTTAATACGGAAGATGAGGGCATTAATACTACCAGCTGTCACAATATCAGTTACTGAATAATCCTTTCCACTCCCACTCATTTACAATGTCTCCTTTACAATAGATGAAATTCTTTCACGAAACAGTCTCTTGAGGGAGTGTAGTATAACATCACCTGTCTAATCTTACACCAGTGCTAGCAGTGTTTTCATTATTAGTTTTCTCTGTCTAATGTCTAAAAGCATTCTCATTACTGTTCTTTTGCAGAATTTTTTTGAAAGTCATTTTTCTTTAGCTTTCAAATGCAGTCATTTGCTGTCTTTCCGTCAAGATATGAATTTCTTGAAGACAGGATTAGTTTATTTCCTTCGACTAGATTTCTAAGAATAGTATCACTGGATCTGAACATTTCTCCTACTTTTTAAAACTTATTTCCAATGTTTTCAAAAAGAGTGTGTCAATTTCACCCTGTCAGTACCTAGGTATTTTGAAGTGTTCTTCAAATTAGTAGGGGAAAAAATGTAGCACGCTTCGATTTCTATATCTCTTTTTTTTTTTCTTTTATACAGGCATGTTTTATTTATTTATTTATTTATTTGTTCGTTTGTTTTGTTTGTACATGCACTGGGTACAGTCAGAAGCGCGGGAGGGTGAGAGAATTCACCAGAGCCAGAGCGGGGAGCAGAGCAGGCAGAAGGACCGAAGTACACTGCTGAGGGGAGCAGCGGGCGGCAGGAGAGGTCTGCACGCCATGTGGGACCCTCCTCCGGTGGCCGGGGAGCAGCCGGGAATCGAACCGGCGTCGCAGAGGCAGCGGGCAGCCTCGCAACCCAGCGCTCAACCGCTGCGCCACCGGGGAGGCCCTCTATATCTCTTTTTATTAGTGATGATAAACATATACCTGACAGATAGTAGGTGCTTAGTCAATGCATGTCGAATGAATAAATAGCACATATGAGTCTGTATATGTATTTGGGCAGGGGACATTTATACAAATATTGTGGTAACATAAATGCTGGCTAAAATTAAGTTTATAGACAACTGCCTATAATCCATGTGCAGAGAGGTTCTAAAGGTGCCCGAGAACCCCTTGGAACTTGGACCTGACTTGGGTGAGGCAATCCTTAGACTCTCTGTAATTTGCATTCACCACAGGCATTTGTTTCCAGGCAAGGTCAGCTGAGAGTTTTTTGAAAGAGTAAGATAATGGAGGGTGGGTAGGTATGCCTCGGCTACAAGCAGCCCAGAAGCATCCATGATTGGCTCAAGACAGAGCACTCATCCTCTGGCAGCAAAACCATGATAAGAAGTGTCAGGTATCTGAGTATTCCACTGGAAACTGACCCAGGTCATAGCAGGCTTTAAAGCAGTGAATTTAAATATATGAGTCCCCAGAACCACATGCAGAAACTAGATTGGACTCCCGGGATGAGGCATTCTCCATGAAACCACACTACCTTTCTTCTCAATTCACTAAGTACAAAAGAGTATAGAATTCCTTGGTTCAGAGAAGTGTTTTTTTTTTTTCTCCTTTTATCTGTAGCTTGAAGGACAGGTGGTCATTTTTTTTTCCTTAGGTATCACTGTTTTTACTTTGAATTTTTAAAAATAGAGTAAAAGCTAACAAAATGCAGGCTGTTTCTCTTTGTTTTTAAGGCCACATAAAATTCATTACTAAATATTGGCACCATTTGCTCCATCGGCTCACCAGTAGCTTCTAGTTGCAAACATTCCCATGGATTTCCTTGATCACAAAATGTTGTTTTGATGAAAAGTAGTCCATGTTATCATCTTAACCCGAATATGCTAAAAGTGTGCTCAAGGTTTTATTCTGTAAAAAAAGACTGTTGTTTTCACTTGAATCAAGAGCACTATGGAGTACCAAGTTCACGGCCAAGAATACAAACAACTGGCTTGTGAATGATGCATTCGCAACAGTCACAACTGCTGCTTCATATCACTCACATAGCACATTGATAAGTTCAGTTTTAAAAATGCTCCTGGGCCTCCCTGGTGGCGCAGTGGGTTGAGCGCAGCACTGTGAAGCTGTCCTCTTCCTCTGCAGCGAGGGTTCGATTCCCGGCCGGCCAGGGAGATACCCACATGGCGCGGCAGACCTCTCCTGTCTTGCCCCCTGCTCCCCTCAGCAGTGTATTTTGGTCCAGCTGCCTGTTCTGCTCCCGGCTCTGTCTCTGGTGAATCCTCTCACCCTCCCGCACCGCTGACCTGTATCCCAATTCTTGTATAAAAATAAATCTTTTTAAATAATAAAAATCCTCCTCCTCCAACATATATTAAATTTTACAGACATTATCAAACAAGATTCCAAATGCTGAATAAGGCCCAGCACTCCTTGTCAGACTTTAAAGCTATCTAGCAGAAGATAGCTAGTTGAAATGATACACAAAACTCCAAATGAACTTTTCCTTTAACTCCAAGTAGCATATAAGAACAACTGTTTCACAAGTCCTTTTTCCTTAGAGTGACATCTAGATTGTGGCTGCCAGATTCCTCAGAGATGGATGCATAAATAGGCCTCCTTGTTTCTTCAATCTTTTGGTTAAAATCGATTCTCATCTCTTCTCCACCTATTTGAAAATGTTTGCCAAGTTTTTTAAGAACTGGCTCTAAAATTCACCTCTTCTAAGCCTTCCAGGATTAATTTCTTCCTATTGCTAAGTCTCTAGAGCTCATACATATGTTCAGCTGGTATCAAAAAGAGCACTGGTGTCCTGACTCTCAACAGTGTGCTTCCCACCATATTATCTCATCTTCTTTTATTTACAATCATAATTGGCACTGGTATCTCTTCAGAATGTCTAGTAGTGCTATCTATACAAGTCTCCCAGTAATTGCCAATGCAATGAGTGTACATAACTGGGCCTCCCTGGTGGTGCATGCGGTTGAGCGCTGCACTGTGAAGCTGTCCACAGCCTCTGCAGCGCAGGTTCAATCCCGGTCGGCCAGCAAGAATCCCACATGGTAAAGCAGACCTCACCTGTCTCGCCACTGCTCCCCTCAGCAGTGTATTTCAGTCAGTCTGCCTGTTCTGTTCCCCGCTCTGTCTCTAATGAATCCTCTCACCCTCCCGCACATCTGGCCTATACCCTGGTTCTTGTATAAATAAATAAATCTTTAAAAAAAAAAGAGTGTACATAACTGAAAGTTATGTATGCGTGTACAATGACTCAAGGGAAAGAGGCAGAAAGCAGAAAGGTCATTTTCTTACTTCTTTGCGTGATGCCACCCTCCGGACCAATTAATTGCTACTTTGCACATTCCATCAATCAGGCACTGGGCAGCTGTGATTGTGGCCCCTCCTACTGCTGCTGCGTAGTCAAATATTCCTTCAGTGGCTGGGCAGTCATAACCTTAGGGCAAATATCAGAAGAACTTTTTAAAAGAAGAAGTATAAAAAGAGAAGACGTGATTTTTTTATTTATAATATGAAATACAGTCGACCCTGAACAATGCAGCTTTGAACGAATGGCTACACTCATATGTGAATTTCCTTGTAAACTGAAGACAGGAACAGATGGTATCAATAAATACAGTACTGTAAATGCATTTTCTCTTCCTTATGATTTTCTTAACATTCTCTTCATTTTACTTTGTTGTAAGAATACAGTATATAATGCATATAATACACAAAATATATGTTAAACCACTATTTATATTATTGGTAAGGTTTCCCTTCAACAGCTAGCTGTTAGTTAAGCTTTGAGGGAGTCAAAAGTTAGATGTGGATTTTTACTGCACTGGGAGTTGGAAGTCCTAATTCCTTCATTGTTTAAGGGTCAACTGTATATATTTGGTCTTAATCATTGTTTCTAGCACAAAGCTTTTAAAAACTCTAGGAATTGCCTAAGTGTTAAAAGCCATACAGAAGTCTTTTGTTATGTTAATGAGTTGACTTTTGGAAGGTGCCTAAGGTGGGGGCTGATCACCCGAGGAGCCAACCTTCTGACAGAGGGTTGGAGATTGAGTTCAGTCACTAATGACTGGCCACTGATTTCATCAATTATGCCTATGTAATAAAACTTCCATAAAAATCCTAAAGGAGAGGATTTGGGGAGTTTCCAGTTGGTAAACACATGGAGATGCGTATGTGGAGAGGGCATGGTCCTTGTCTTTTCCCCTGTGCATTTCATCCATCTGACTGTTGCTAAATTTTATCTTTTTATAAGTAAATATAGTGAATAAATGGGTCTCCTGAGTACTAGTAAATTAATCAAATCCAAGGAGGGAGTCATGGGCGCTTCTGATTTATAGCCAGTAGCTGAGAAGTACAGATAACAACCTGGACTTGCAGTTGGCATCCTGAGTTGGAAGGGGTTAATGGAGCCTCCAGTTTGTAGCTTATCTATCAGAAGCACAGCTAACAACTTGGGTGTGAGATTGGTGGCTGAAGTGGAGGGGGGTCTTGTGGGACATAGCCGTTGACCTGTGGAATCTGTTATCTCTAGGTAGACAGTGTCAGAATTGAGTTGAAATGCAGGACACCCAGCTGGGGTCCAACGCCATTGCTTAGTGGTATGGGGGGAAACTTTCTCCACAGACTGGAATTGAATACAGAACCCTATTAAAAGGAATGGATTTAGGTGACAACAGACCCTGCCAAAAAGCTACTGTGCTAATGTTACCTATAAATGAGAGAGAAACATCTCCAATGTTGGGTAAAGAATTTTAAAAAATTACTAGAGGTAAAAAGGCTAAACTTCTTCAAGATTAACTAGTCACATCCTGCAGATGGAGAAACTGAGGCCTGAGAGGCAATATTTCTTATCTATGACCACAAAGAGCCAGGTCTGGGACCCAGGTCTTTTGACCCCCAACTGCATTCTCCAGTCCAGTGTGCTACCAAATCATGCTATTGTCTAGATTATTCTGTTGGCTAGTCACAATTTTTGAAAATGCAGCTGTTCAATGGGAGATGGGGTAGTAAAGTGAACCAGAACATAAATCTGTACTCAAGTTAAAACATCAGGCCTCAGAACAGTTAAATCAACATATATACAGCACATGTACAATGCCTAAACAGCCACACCCAATCTGGGCACCATTATCTAGGCATAAGCAACTGAAATGTTTTCCTCCATCTGATTCATCTTCAGTTTTGCTCAACCCATAGATATGGTTTACTTGTTAAGTGATAAGGCTAAACAAGATTAAGCCTGTGTCAGGGGGCCTCCCCGGTGGCTCAGCGGTTGAGCGCTGGGTTGCAAAGCTCCCCGGCCACTGGAGGAGGGTCCCACATGGCACGCAGACCTCTCCTGCAGCCCGCTGCTCCCCTCAGCAGTGTGCTTCAGTCCTTCTGCCTGCTCTGCTCCCCGCTCTGGCTCCGGTGAATTCTCTCACCCTCCCGTGCTTCTGATTGTACCCAGTGCTTGTATAAACAAATAAACAAACAAACAAACAAACAAATAAATCTTTAAAAAAAAAAAAAAGACTGGACTGTGTCAAAGTCCATCATGCATGGTTCACAGTGATATGGTGGTGGGGGAACTGTGGGAACTACAGCAATGTAAGAAAAAAAGTTAATAAAAAATGAAAAAATAAAGACCATCATCCAAATTACAAAAGATTAAGTAGTTGCAAACTCTAGATGGATATTGTCCATCTTGCATCCTTGCCCCTAATGACTTTACCTAGCCCATATTCTATGGAGTCCGGATGATCATCATCTCCTTCTTGGCTAACCTTCTGGAGATGCTGCAGATAGGCATCAGTGTGGAAGGTGGCCATCTCCTCCATTGACGCCACTTTGGGCTTAACTATCCTAGTAATAACAGAGAACAAAGAGAGGTGAATGAGTCAGACCCACCGTGTACCAGGAGCTGGCAGCAGGAGCCGGCAGCAGGAGCCAGCAGTCTGAGCAGAAAATACAACCCCCACCTTCTGGTTCCAGTGGACTGAAGTAAAATAAACACACCCTGTTCTACTACACTAGAGTCTTCACTTCTTACATCTACGGTAATGACTCCATTAATAAGGGGTGGGAGGACAGATTTTTCTCTTGAGTGTACAGGCAGGTTTTTAAAAAGTGAGTAATTATATTTAAGTTAAATAATCAGGAAATGGACAGACTTTATTCTGTGAATTACAACATCTATGACAAACCAGTAGGCAGAGATAGTTTTATTTGAATCAGTTCATAATTGGATCATATAATCCTTTCAAACTATTTTTTTAAGATAGCCATATTGGTATGAATCTTAAATTCAGACCCAGAGGACTGGGTTCCTGTTCTTACTCTGTGTTATCAGCTTTATAACCTCAGATAAGTTGACAATTCTTTAAGTCAGTTTCCATATCTGTAAAGTAGGGACATTTATGGGATTGTGTGAGATTAAATGGTAACATACATGAAAATCCTTTGTGGATAACCATCATTATTATTGATATAAATGGTTAAAATAAAGGTAGCCCAAAATGTAAAAGTTTTTATATTTGGCCCCTCACATCTGCCTGAGAAGAAGGAGAGAAGGGGCAAAAGGTTGGAACTGGGCTTCCCTCAGAAGCTCTCAATGAGTTCCTCACAAGAAGTGACAAATAGGAGTGACTGAGACAATACAGGGCCTGAAGCTGACTACAGGACTTACCACCTCTAATCTCTAGTTTCCTATACTCCAATTCCTCTTTCTGAGCTCAACACTGCCACTAATTTCCTGTAGCTTTGCCACTCAAAGGATGGTCTGTGGACCACCCCCAGCAGCAGCAACAACTGGGAATTTGTTAGAAAGGCAGAACTTCAGTCTTACTTTAGACCTCCAGAATACAAATTTATATTTTAATAAGGTGATCCATATGAACATTCAAGTTGGGAGAGCAATGATCTTGGCCACAGGGAAGTGGTAGTTTTTAATGTTTGCTGATGGGAACAAGGCCATGAATTTATGAATGAATGTGCACTAATATGACTATACAGGCTACTATTGTCACCTAGCAGGCCAGAAGAATCCTGTGGCTTGGCCACAAAAATGAAATAATGTCAATATCCAATAATTCTTTTTTCAAGAAAACATGTCTACACCCTCAGAGGTGATAAATCTTGCCATTAAAATAAATTTTTTACTGTTTGGGGGACCATGTTTCTCAGTTCTAATAGTTCTATTACCTTCCAGTTATTTAACAAATACTTACTGAAAGCCTCCTTACTTAATAGCAAGGAAACCGGACAACTTTGCTTTGATTTGAATTCCTGTTTGCCTTAAGGTAATTTTTTGAAATGTTAAATAACTTTAATGGAAAGCATGTAGCAGTTATGTTTACCAAATACATGGGTTTGAAAATGGCTGAAAAACAATCCTAATGTAGATACTCAATAAAGGAGTTTGTTAATAATAAGGATAACATTTGTAAGTCTATTACACCACTTTCTGGAAGATAAATGAAGCATACCACACTAGGCAGTGTAGACAGATATTCACCTAATTGGCCAGAACATGTCACAAATAACCCTACAGGGCAGGGTTATAATATTTACTCTTATAATGACAAACAACAAGCTCATTTTCTAAAAAAGAAGCACTAAACTCTCTGAGTTCTGGACTGGTTGTGTGAGTTTGCTTTGGCGTTGACTTATCTTCTGGATCACTCATTAAGGATTGGTGGTGGTGACAGAGGTATCTAAAAGTCTTAAGTTAAACCCACGCCCTTAAATCCAGTTTGGAAATCCCGCATTAGCATACCTCCCAGCTGAATACCCTTTTTTCTATCAGACAGGTCTTAATACCCAAATGTACTTAGGTCAAAACATCACAAACCCTTTCTCTGCAAGCAACAAAGTTCCATTTCTAATGGATGTTAACTAACTGCTTCATGCTCTTTTTTCATGTTTTCTTAATTCTTCAAGGGCTTTCACCAGGTTACAGGCAGATTACAAACACTGTGAATCACCAAAACATTATTAAAAGGCACCGTTCTCTCCCTAATTGGCCCCACTGTGAAACAGGATATTGAGGCTAATGAATACTAGGTTCAGGGCTCTGTTCAGGAAGGACGACTTACCTCATTTGCTTATGCAGTGCATATGCTTCAATCAAAGAATGTACCATACTGGCCTAAAAACATCAGCAAAATAAATAAATAAATAAATAAATGGCAAAAAATAGTCTCATACATGTTTAATTCAGCGAAATCCGGTAGACTTCATCATTCTGAACAAAAAGAGCCAACTTTTACAGTTCCTCTCTCGCTCTTAGTAGTTAAAATACACTGTAGACAATATAGATACGAAGTATCTGAATCACTAAGGCGGAAGCTACCCCCGGCTTTACCGCGGTGCTGGCACACTTTCCTCTTACAGTTTCTTCTTCACGACTTCTGAGATCCTTTGCAGCAGAAACACCATCCTCTCTCAGTGCCACCCCTGCCTCTCGGATCCCCCCACTCCACCCCACCCCACCTGTCCCTCAGACGCCCGGCTGAAAAGCTGCGGCTCGAGAAACTAGATGGAAACACTTCCTCTATCACCTGGTACGTAAACTGTCCAAATGTCTACTGATTTCCACAGCCCAGTATCCTCTCCGCGTCCGAAAGCCCTTCGATTCCCACCCAAAAGCCCACAGTCTTTCATCCCAATCTCTCTTACCCGTTGGGACTTTGGCCAGGGAATCACACATGCTGACATACTCGGGACTGTAGATGTAAACCGGGCGTAGCGACTGCCCACAGTCCGCGGGTTCCTCCGGCTCCTCCATCGTCCTCTCCCAGCAGTGCCGGAGCACCAGTCTGGATCCGGCTTTTTTCGGACTCAGCTCGGGCTCCAGTTCCTGCTACTTGGCTCGGCCGCCGGGGTGCTCCCGGGTCAACATTCCCTCCTGTTCTCGAGATTGTCAGAGAACATTGTCTTCGTTCCCCATTCAGTTGAAGGAATACATAAGCCTTCCCAGGCCAGAACCCCTTCATTTAGTGACCACAGTTAAAAAACGGGAGGTTGGCAGATATAAACACCCAAATAGCTGCCAATTAGGATCGAATTTTTTATGGCACAAATATGCACGGCCAAAACTAACCATCCTTGTTGCCCGACGGGGCCATTTGAGATGAGGTCAGACCAGTTTCAGAGCATGCTGGGAGATGTAGTTTGAAGGGGTTTGAGTAGCGGAAGAGCCGAGCAGAATTAATAAAATAGCCGTGAATTTGAGTTTTAGCGGTAAAAAATAAAAATCAGCCTCAACTCTTTATGAATTGTTTCAATCTACAAACACCCATATAAGCATTTAAAGAGCAAATGTAGCCACCAAGAGCCCAGCACCACCCTGCTACATCACCGTGGGGGGGGGTGTGAATGGGGGGGACGATGGGGACTAATTAACGGTACAAACGGTTTGTAAAGTTCAAACAGTAAATTCTGTGCTGCAACTTTAATCCATTGCTTTTTCGCCATTAGCTATCCATGGCCATGTAAAAGTTAATAACCTGAATAATTTGCTCTGGCAAAGCTGCAGAGTAAGGGTTTAAGCAGATACTTTCAGTGATGTTTGGAGACTACAGCTCCTCTTCCCTCCCTCCTTCTGCTTCTGCAGTCACATAAAGGCTGGGGAAATCTTAGGTTTAGTGTGAGGGTCCACATTAAAGAATATCCTGACGCAGTTTTAGAATTACCATCAGTATTTCCAGGGTTCTGGGGGTCCATATGATCTGACACAAACTGCCCAAGTTTCCAATTCTTACATCAATCTGAATTGAACTGCACCCCGCAGACAATCCAACATTCCTAACCTATAAAATCTAGCTTACATTTTACTCGTCAAACATGTATTGAGCATCGTGGTATGTGCTTGGCTCTCTTATTCCATTTCCTCCTTGCAACAATGAAGGAGATTGTAATACACACATTTTATAGAGGGAATCTAGAGAGAGAAAATAGCTGTTTAAAGTCACACCGTTAACATGCAGAAAAGCAGGAATTCAAAATCATGTCTGCCTGACACTAAAATCCTTTGAACATTCACTCTACTAGATAAAATTTCTTCCTCTGTGATGAATTTGTGTTACATCCAACTTTGTTCAACCCTCCATTTAAGTATCCCTTCAATACACAGTATTCTGGAAATATATTTTTTGTGTAGGCCCTTTAACTAGAATCTAAGCGCTTATGCTTTTGTATCTTTTCATAACAATTAGCTCAAATCTCTGTAAGTGATCAAACATTGTCTGACATCACCAGGTACAGCTGAGTATTCAATCCTCAAGATAAATTACAATTTGCTCTCAGGGAATTTGCATTTTTTTAAAATTTAAGTACTATTGGTTTACACCCCTGTTTTGGAGGAATTTGCATTCTTATAGAGAAGATGAAACAAATACACAAGAAATCATATGCAATATAGTCAGATAATAAATGTAGGAGGCTTAAACTACTTAATAATTGATACCTAACAAGTGGTAACTAACCTTCTTATTCAATGCCATTTGAAAGTGTCTTAGTGAAAGGACAGGATTTTGCTTGGTGAAGGTGGGAGCCAGGGGAGGTCACATTATCTAGAATTTCCCCATCCAAATCCTTTCTGCCCCTTCTCCATCTTTTATAGGTCAGTAAAGATAACAACACAGTTTTCAGAGCCAGAAACCTGGAAGTATTTTGTATTCCTTTCTTTTCCCTCACCCTTAAAACGAATCCATCAGCAATTGTCATCAGTTCTACCTCCGAGACTTGTCTTAAACAAACCTACTTCCTTCTCCTTCACTGTCACCACGCAGTCCTACCACTGTCATCTCTTGCCTGGATTTTCTGCAATATCTAATTGGTCTTGACTTCACCTTGCTGACCTACAATATGATCTCTTTTGCAGTCACCAGAATGAGTTTCAAAAATAATAAAAATGAGATCATATCACATTTTAAAACCTACTCCACATCATAGTGAAAAAATTTGACCTAGGAAGAGTATAATTTTTGGAAATGTCTGTTTGTAAGGATAAAGAGGAGAAAACAGTGCCAGAAAGGAGACTAAAAAAAGGAAGAGCTGGGTGAGAACAATTGTAGTAGTTCACAGAAATTAATGATAAGAGAGCCTACAAGGAAGGGATAATGACAATGTCAAATATTGGAAAAGAGTCAGACCCTTTACCAGTAGGAGTTCACTGGTGCTCTACGAAAAAACAAATAATAAAGTAGATCAGGAAGCCAGATTGCCATGATTTAAGTAGTGAAGCCCAAACTGTCAAGTGTAGCCTCCTCTTTGAAGTAATTTGTGAAAGGAAGGAATTAAAATACTGACTTGCAGACATGTCAGAGCCTAGGAATGATTTTTTTTTTTTTTTAGGGTAAGAGAAACGCATGTTTATAGACAGATGAGAAGGAGTCTATAGGGCTGTAGAAGTTGGCTGGAAGCCTACATCATGACAAATTGGCAACATAAGGAGGAAAGGGAGTTTTCCTGCCTGGGCCTTCATAGATAGGCAATGGAAGTAAAAGGGCAGGAAAAAGACTGGCTAACTGACTTGCTAAATTCTGGACTCTAAAGAAAATGGATTATTCTATGTGTTCTGACAGATCTAGCAACAGTAGCAGAACACTTCCAACACTTGAGCATTGCTTCTAAACTGAAACTAGCAACAGTATCCTTGTTTGGCACCAAGCAAGATGATTCAACTCTGGAGAAAGATAAATTGTTGCAGAGCCTCTGGAAATCGCAGCATGTTGCTGCAGCAAATGTTACTGGGCTCCTTGCTCACAGTTAAGACAGAGGATACACCATGACAGGTTCCCTAACCTCCATAACCTCAATTTACACAGGTTTAATACCCACATGGTCCTTAAATTGGAAAGTTAACCCTTTCCAAAGCACTGTATTTGCAGTTGGGGGACATAAGATCAGAGGAAATAGACTGAATCTAGATTGTCTCCAAAGTGTGCTGATGTAGTAACCCTAAGCAAGTTTCTTGACTCACTTTCCTCAAGCATTATTGCTAAAGGTACTTTAATTTTTGAACCAGCAAGGTCACATTGGACTTTACAACTTCTTTTGGCTATCTCCCCTACCTTCACTTGCTGTCAGAAGCAGGCAGAAGGAAAAGCAAACACATTAAAAAGGCTCCTTTGTGCATTTCACAATTGGTCCACTGATGCCTCAAGTGTACTGAACAGAACAATCCGCGTTTGCACATCACTAACACCTTTTGCTTGGATGGTGTCATTGTTGAGGATGTGAACTCTATGGAGCCAGACAGGTTGGGTTCAAATTCCAGCACTACTCGCTGTTTGATTTGCACAAATTGCGTAAATACCCAGCGCCACAGTCCCCTTGTCTATAAGATAGGGATGACAACAGTATGTATCTCACATTGTTACTATAGAATAGGATGGTAAGTGCCAAGTGCCTATATGATAAAGGCTGGCACTTAGACTCAAGCATTGGTTATTATTTTTAGAACATTATGCTGCGGCAGGCTGCACCTCCCATGCTGTTTCTTGACAAGGTCCGGGCATTGGGGGAGACTCCCGAGAAGCAGGGAGTCCCTGTGCTCCCCCAAAGAGGGAAATTGTACTTCCCAGAAGAGGGGAGTTCTTGCACTTCCCAAAGAAGATCTGAACTGGGGAGTCTCCATGGCAATGCCTGCTAATGCTCTCCTCTTTGTTCTTGGTTAATGCTGAAGTAAGTTAGTTATTAATTGGCATGTGAAAACCTAATTCAGACCCAGGTGACAATTGGCTTATTGTTCTTACGCATGAACTATCACAAAAGAAGTAAAAATTGTTAAAGATATAGTTAGGATAGAAATGTTTCGGCCCTGAGAACTATGGAGAACAAGCTGCCCTGAACCAGCTGTGCTTGGAAACCATAGCCTAACCTGGGGGGTACCTGTTTGCGGCAACAATACATCTCCTGGTGTATGCAAGAGGTCAATAGTTTGCAGGCCGTGTGGAGGTTAGGAATTTCTAGTTGAGAGTTAGACTTCAGTAGAACTTACATAGATTTGATGAGTTGTTTTAGATCACTTTGAAGTAATTGATAATAGGCTAGATTAATCTAGTGCTAGAGAATGGGTTGATTTTAGTAATATAGCATAACAATGGACTTTTATGTCCACCCCAAAATTAGGAAGGCTTGACAGGATGATTGATTGTTACTGAGCATTGTACTGTCTTAGACAATTGATTATGTTAGAATATGAGTTGTACCTAGAAAAGTAATTGTCCCTGTTGATTTTCTTAATCAGATTAAAGAAGTGTCCTTTCGTAGTATGAGATCAAGAGGGTCTTTGTATATTCGTGAGAAAATATGTAATGATTGTCTCTGTTCTGCTTTGATGCTTATGCTGATGTAATCTCACCGCTAGCCTTAAGGTATAAATAAAGACCTGCTGAGACCCTCAGTAGGAGATACTTGCACCAGAGAGGGTGTCTGTGTCTGCCTCACTTCTACCTTGCTCCACTTCCCCTCAGTCCTCCGAAAAAACTTCACCGACTCTGTCCTCTCCTTTCTGAGATCCCTGACACGACTTCTAGCTGGAGATGGTCTCCAGCATTATGCCAAATATTCCTTAATTTTTTTGGGGGGGAAGAGTCTCCCCTTCTCCTCCAGTGCTATTCTCACCTGTATGCTATTACTGCAGGAGTACTAGTCATTTGAGAATAGGTCCTTATATCTTAGGCTTTGCCTTAAAAGAAATCAGACTTCTGCTAAATATAGGGCAACTGTATCATCCAAAGTGAGACACTTTTTTTTTATAAAGATTTATTTATGCATACAAGAGCTGGGGTACAGGCCAGAGATGTGGGGGGTGAGAGGATTCACCAGAGACAGACTAGGGAACAGAACAGGCAGACTGACTGAAATACACTGCTGAGGGGAGCAGCGGGCAAGAAGGAGAGGTCTGCTTCGCCATGTGGGTTGCTCCCTGTCTGGCTGGGGATCGAATTCGTGCTGCAGAGGCTGCAGATTGCTTCATAGTGCAGTGCTTAACCCCTTGCGCCACGAGGAAGGCCCCCAAAGTGAGAAACTTTTGAAAACAAATGACAGGGTATGCTATGAATAATTATAACAGGCATAAACAGCAAACAAAGACCCAAGGTCACTCAAATTTTATAGGAAATGAAGACTAAATATGAAAAACACAGTATTTATCTTCAGTGCATTAGTATGGGTGTTTGGTGTGTGCAAAGGGATGGTAGAGGTTTTATGAGCTGTGTCTAAGAACAACTTTTTCCCCACCAGCTGCACAAAATTCATAAAATGTAGTAAAAACCAATTGTGGAGACACTTGCTGGATAAACCTTATTATAAAAAGGGGCCAGTGAATAATATAAACAAGATTCTGTCATATATTTGTCATACTTAGGAGAATCAACTGTTTTCAGGTAATCTCCAGTAGCACAGAAGCACCATTTGCACACAATTATAATGCTGAATAAAAATCGTTCTTACTTATTCTCTGACCAGGTTCTCTAAAGCCATCAATAAGTCCATTTGAATTTAGTGAGCCTAGTTTGTCCAAGTATGTATTTGAATGATAAAACTATTTTTTGACATTATAAAATGCATAACAAATATGTATGTAATGAGAGATTATTTCATTTTGACCCAATTAATAAGCTTTGACGGTACTACAGTATGAAATAACTCCAACCATAAAAACACATAAAATTTTTGCAAACTGGAACCAGACATGATTTATTGAAAATTCTAATTCTTTATTCTATTTTCAAAATATAAGTGCTTTAACAGAGTAACATGTCATTTAGCATCACATGCTTATAATGAACAAAATACAAAAGATTTCTAAAACTAACACTTTGTGGGGGCCACAGTGATAAACAATTTAGTAAACCCAGAGAAATGCAGCCATCAGCCTCAGTTCAGGCAACTTATCATGGGAGGGTATGGGGTACTTCACTGGAGCCACTCCAGATTTACTCCCCATGGTTGGGGTACACTTGCAACCAGTGAAAAGAGTTTCAGAACGGGTTGTAACTTTTCTTGATAATGACAGAAAAAAAATCACATAGTCAGAAAACTACTTAGTGTGTGTTTCCATTTGCTTTAAGACAGGTGCTGAAGAGGTTGGCCATCCTCTCTATTTCCACTGTTTTCTATCACCCACTATGCTCACTCATGCATGTGTGCTCATAAGATTGTCAATGATTCTGTAAGAACTGTTTCGAGATTCCCCCACCTCCATTCTTGGAGGGAACAAAAAATTGAGGGAAAGGAGGGGATTGAAGTGGAAAGTTATCTGAGTACAAATAGGGAAATGAGTAATCTTTACACCCATATCAGGAGAAGGAAAGTGCTATGGACTGAATGTTCATGTCCACCAAACTTCTTATATTAAAACCTTCACTCCCAAAGTGATGGTATTTAGAGAGTTGGGACCTTCTGGAGGTAGTCAGTCATGAGGTTGGCATTCCCACAATGAGATTAGTGCCCTTGTAAGAAGAGGAAGAGACTAAAGTTTTCTCTGTGCCATGTGAGGAAATAGCAAGAAAGTGGCTATGTGCAAACTAGAAGTGGACCCTCATGAGACACTGAATCTTTTGGCAATCTGATCTTGGACTTGACAGCCTCCAGAACTGTGAGAAATAAATGTTTCTTAAGCCACCCAGTCTATGGTACTTTGTTATAGCAGTCTGAACTGAACAAGATAGAAAGTTAGGAGAAACATTCTTCAAAAGAGGCCGCCTAAACATGGGGCCAAGGAAGAGAACTTAAGGGTTCTCCCAGTCAGCCTGAGGACACAGTCACACCTTTGTCTCACGCAACACTCATATTTGCATTCTTACTCGGTCTATCAAATGTAGATACAGGTAGATATATAGACACATCAACTTTCAGAAAAATTCTCACATATGTTTAGACAGATAAAACAAAGCAGGTGTTTTATATAGATATCAAGACATATAGAGACATGAATACTAGAATGAGGAAGTGAAAATGTACATGAAAGAGTTTAAGAACAGTTGGAAGGGCAGAGAGTTGGGGAGGGGAGGGGACTGGATGCTGTAGAAGGTGAGTAGGTGAATGAGACAGAGACCAGGAGAGCATAAGGAAAGAGTGCCTGGAAAAGCGCTATGTTGTGCTGCTCTTTGGCAAAGACAGAGGCTTCAATTATTCTCCATGTTGCCTGTTGGCCCACTCTTCACAAGTAAGACTTAAGTGTGCACAAGGCTGTCTTTAGGGCACTAACCCACCTCTGACTCCCCTCAGCTCCCTGGGTGCACAACACCACTCAGCATCATCTCTTCTTCTATCTTACTCTCTGGACTTGGGCTAGGGTCTCCTTTGCTCTGGGTTATTCTGCACTTTCTGCTGCAAATACATCTATGAGTACCAGCAATCTTCACAAAATGTGACTTCAAGTGTTAATACACAAATCCTTAAATATGCACACTGCATTAATATTTTTAATATTTCATCAAACAATAATTCTACACAGAGAGGTGTTCATTACTGTGTAAGGCAACATGTGAGTAAAAAAGGAAACCATATCACGCTACTCTTTTTTTCCCCAGGAAAAGGCATTTAAAATAGACATTTCCAATTTACGGCAGCATAAAACCCAACAATTGGGGTTTATTCACTTGAAATAACTTCCCAAAGCACCCACCACTCCTTCACACAATAAAGCCACATAAGAAAAACCAAACCTTAGGAATAAATTATTAATATCTGTTCCCCAAACAGGAGTTAGAAAACTAAGTTGGTAATAGATCTAGAGAATAAAAACACATGCAAACTTTTATGAACCATGAAAAAATTAAGGCCCACAGTGAAGTGCCTGGATAAGCACACATCTTCAAGCCAGAGTTCACTTCAATAGCAGTTAGTTTCTCAGAAAACTTTGTTCTTCTTGGGAGAGGTGGGGTAAAAAGGGGAAGGGTGGGAGTGATCGGGCAATCACATTTCAGTTTCATTTACAATCAACTGAGGCAAGAACCAGATGTTAAAAGGCTCCCAGAAGCTACTGCATGGCACAGATGCTGTGGGGCAGGAACTCCTGCACGTAGGTGGCAGCTGCCTTGGAGAGGTAGGTCATGGTGCCAAACCTGCCACTGGGTGCACTGTCGTACAGAAGAGTACAGATGCCAGAAGCAGGATCCTTTGTCAACATGATCTCGTCTGCGCCGAGGGTTTTCTGTTTGGTTTTTAAGGGTGGGAGAACACAGAAGAAAGGAAAAATTACTAATCTTACTAATTGAAGTCCTGATTAGGATACCTCAGAGGCACCTCCCATTCCCCAACTAACTAGCTGGATCCTACACTGTTTAGCCAGGGCTATGGACAAAATGGTCAGTATAGGCTTCTACACAAGCATTTTTCACTAGACCTCAAAATCATGTGAAGTTATTTTTAAAGTATTTATTGTTTAGAATTATTTCCATTACAATGAATTTTTGAAAGTTAAACATGACGGCTAATTAAATGGGTTATGCTTACTAAGAGTCACCCTAGAGGAACTTTGGTCTGAATTCTTCTAGTACTGTTGATTTAGTATGTTATCATTTTATTTTGTATTTGATCATTATTTCTTTCTAAGTCAACTGAATTCAAATAGATTGCAAACTTTCAAAATTAGACTCTAAGCCTAGAACAGATCACACATTCTGATACAGATGAATAGCTATCCAGAAAATCTTAAATTAGGACTGTCCTAGAAATCCTGGATACTTAATTTCTTTTGCATTCCTTCATGGTGTCTAACAGAATAAAGCACCAACTACAAGTTTTGGAGATAGTTCCTATTGATAACAGCACATATCCTTCACCTTATGTATTTCCTTTTTTTATTGGAGTACCATTGTTTTGTATCCTTGCCAGTGTTTTGACAGTATAGGATCTCCTCTACTAGGTTAGTCACCATAGCACTCTCACCACCAAATCATCCATAGTCCTTAATCTAGGGAACCACAGAAAAGCTTTCGATAAATAGTTCACATTTTTTAATGTAGTTAATTTCCTAGAATATTTATTAATAAGAAAATGTAGAATTAAGTTTCACTTAATAGGTAAGTAATATAGGTAAATAGCAAAAATAAAACAAAAACAAAAAGTCCTCTTGTTTACTTGATAGTCCAGAAGGGATATGCGACCCAATAGTCTAATATTAAGTCCTTATCACTACAAAAAGAAGTTTAAAATATGATGAAAAGCATAAAAGTCTCCTGAGTTCCAGGCAATTTTACCATCTAACACAACTACAAAATACACGGTGAAAGAGGGAGGGCAACCAGCAGCCTACTTCTGCAAAAAGAGCTCAGAGATACTACAGAGGTAGTTCAGAAAAAAGCTACAGGAAAGAGACCACAAGAAAGTCTTGTAAAATTAATATCAGACATTCCCCTTTGGTAAAACAACAGGCTTGCCTACCTGTTCTTGAAGGAACAAGTCATTGGCAATATGCACTATTTTTTCTACAGCAATGATGCTTCCAATACTATGAATTTCAATATCTGCCAACATGGTAAGGACAAGGATGGCTTCAACCAGAAGCTGGCGGTACTCTGGCTGAGGAACACGATTCAGAACAGATTCCACATGAACAGAAAATTTAATCTCGCCTGGAGTCATCTGTGATTGAGAAAAAGAAAATCACTTTGTAAGAGTATCATCAAGGAAACATCAACCACCCATTTACAAGGCTATAAAACACTTGAGGCCACGAGTGCTGCTTCTGTTCCCTTTAAAGTAAGTAAGTCAGTTCAATCTTTTTTCTTATTTTATTTTCAATTTCTTTATATATAATTGACATCATTCTTCCTTTTTGTACAATGGATGCTTTCTCCTCTCAGGTGTAGCCCCCATAAAATTTCCACCACCAATTCACCCGTGTACCATCACCATAGTCCCTTGTGCTCTTCCTTCCCCTGTTTTGATCCCTCTTTCCCTCCCCTTCCCTGCAGACTCTGATTTATAGTTGCCTATGAATTTTGTTTTTTAATTTATTATAATTATTTATTTCCTGATCCCAGATTTGGTTCAATCTTTCTGGAATGCAATCTGGCAATGCACAAGAGTCAAAAAACTGTCAGTGCCCTCTAGCCCATATTCCTATTTCTGATAGTTCATCCCAAAAAAATCATCGAAGAGAAGAAAAAAGCTCTATGTACAAGCCTGTTTATGATAGCATTAGTCACAAGTGTAAAACTAGAAGTAACCTAAACATAGGAATGATTGTATAAATAGCATTTCATGGTGTAGCAACTTCATGAGTTTTAATAGTCATTTAAAAAATAAATATGATTGTGGTAGATAAAAGAAACACCTAAGTAGAGCTTAAATTATATATACATGATGACTAGAATTATGTAAGACATTTATATACTAGTTATATTAAAATGGGCATAAAGGGGGCCTCCCCTGGTGGTGCAGCGGTTGAGCGCTGGGTTGAGAGGCTGCCCTTGGCCTCTGCAGCGCCATTTCGTTCCCCAGCCACCGGCGAGGGTCCCACACAAAAAAAAAAAAAGGCATAAAACTGAAGTTATTTTAGGGTGAAGAGGAGTATATATTATTGAGTATATGTTACTAAGCATATATTTTACAGCAAAATTTGATTTTTAAAGAACTGGTTTCAAGTCCTATCTTTGTCAGTTACTAATTCTATGACCTTGGTTAATCATCTTTCTTTGTTTCCTTATCTGTAAATCAGGAACTACAAATCTTACCTTAGCTATCTCATATAAGGTGTGGTGAAGATCAAATCAAAGAAAGTGTGAAGGTGCTTTGAAGACCCTTAGAGATACCATTCAGGTATGTATTATTACTAATTCTATCAACATTTCGATCTTGACAAAGGCAGAGAAAAGGAAAATAGAGGACAAAGTATTGTGTATTAGAGAAAAGGCAAGAGTAAAGCCTTTAAAGCATAGCCTCAGTTTTCTATACCTACCCTTCCAGCATTACCTGCAAAAACTCCAGTGTTTTGAGAATTTTCACTGTTCGATCTTACTATTCTAGCTTGCCAATTCTAGTTCATTTGTTTGGTATAAAAGCTATTTCTTTATCATTTCTGTGTGGCTGGGAAGAGTGCACCATATGAAAGTAATTGACAATGTATGCCTGCAGTTCACGACAATATTTTCCAACCATGGTTATTTATCAGAATCACTATAAGAATTTTTTTTTGAAAGTACACATGTTCAGGTTCCATCCCCAGAGATATGAATGCACTAAATTTGAGATGGAAGCTCAGATTACTCTGACATAAAGTTAGACCTCAGGTTTATGGTCTAATAGCTTACAAGCATCCTACTAGAGAAGGTGGTAATGAAAGGATGGGGACATGAGAAGCCAATCATTCTTAGATTTCTGTTCCATATGCCTTCTCCAACTTGGGCAGCACCCACACAAGCCAGTCTAACCAAACTAGGCATTAAAAGAAGCTGTCTTTATATAATTAATGAAATACCAAATTATCTAATATTGCCATTTAATTTAAAAAAATTCTTTCCTTTCTTCAAATGAATTTCAGGTTGAGTTGATTTAAATGTATTGGTCTACTATCTTGAAAATTGACCACTGAATTACTTGAGCCAGGCAAGCTGTCAATTACATAAAAGTGAAAGACACCAATCTTACCTCTCTGGTGGTTGAAGAAGGAAGAACAAAACCTTCCACAGAAAGTCCATGACACTGCAAAACAGCAAAAGCATGTTTGGACAACTGGGAAGCCAAGGATATTTGGACAACTGGGAAGCCATATGGAGACACTTAGTATTTCCTTTTTTAATTTTATTTTTATATTCCCCATACAATTGCAACCCCTTTATTTTGACCCCAATCCTTTTTCCCCGCCCCCTCCCCCCCAATAGTGTGTCTCTGGTTCATAGCTGTTTGTTGATTTTGATTTTTTCTTTCTTATAGTTATTCTTTTTCCTCGTCCCTTATTTAGGTTTTCTAGATTCCTGCTATGAGTGAGACCATCCGGTATTTTTTTCTTTCTGGCTTATTTCGCTGAGCATGATTCCTTCCAGCTCCATCCATGTTGCTGCAAATTGCACATATCAAAAAAACTAGCAACAACAAATGTTGACGAGGAGGTGGAGAAAAAAGAATTCTCCTACACTGCTGGTAGGAGTGCAAACTGGTCCAACCACTATGGAAAGCTGTCTGGAGGGTCCTCAAACTACTAAAAATGGAGCTTCCATATGATCTAGCAATTCCACCCCTAGGGATCTACCCAAGGACACAAAAATATTGATTCAAAAGAACACCTGTACCCCTATGTTTATTGCAGCACTATTTACAATAGATAAAACCTGCAAATGCCCAAAAATAGATAGCTGGATCAAGAAGATGTGGTATATATACACAATGGAATATTATTCAGCAATCAACAAAGATAAACTCATGCCATTCACAGCAACGTAGATGGAACTAGATGGAATTATGCTCAGTGAAATCAGCCAGAAGGAAAAAGAAAAATATTGGATGGTTTCACTTATAGCAGGAATATAGGAGAAGCAAATAAGACATCAGTGTAAAAAAATAGTAACAGTACAAAATAAAACAAAGCACAAACAGACAATTATAAATCAGAGACATACTGTAGGGAAGGAGGAGGGAGAGGTATTAAAGGGAGGGAGGGAGGAGCAGGGGTGCATTGATGAAGGAAACTCTATGGGGACTACACCTGGTGAGGGGGGAAGCAAACATTGTTTAAAAATGAACAATGGTGTAAAAAATATATAAAATTAAAAAAATTTAAAAAAGAAATTTGGGTAGGGCCTCCCTGGTGGCGCAGTGGTTGAGCGCTAGGTTATGGGGCTGCTCGCAGCCTCTGCAGCACCAGTTCGATCCCCGGGCCACCGGGCAGGCAAGGGTCCCACATGGCGCGACCTACCACCCCTGCCTCACCCGCTGCTCCCCTCAGCAGTGTGCTTTGTCAGTCTGCCTGTTCTGTTCCCCGCTCTGGCTCTGGTGAATTCTCTCACCCTCCCGCGCTTCTGACTGTACCCAGTACTTGTATAAATAAATAAATAAATCTTTTTTAAAAAAAGGAAATTTGGGTATTCTTTTGCTTTCTTGGACATCTATGTCTAATATCCTTAGGATTACAAAGTTCTGAGTTATTATTTCTTTGATAGAGTCTCTGATCCCTTTTTCTTTACCTTCTAGAGCACTTACTGATTTTATGTTTCCTCTTTTACTGGAGTCTGATAATTCTCAAAGTTTCTTTATTTTCCCTAACTCTTATTTAGTTCTCTTCTTCCACAAGGTCATTGGTACATTTGTGTCTTCAATTTCCAAAAAACTCTTTTCTGCCAGCTTAAGTATGTTAAATATACTTCCCATATTTGTCCTCATTTCATTCAACATCTCTTCTTGTTGAATAGCTACTACTACATGTCTGTGAAATTGAATTGCCATAACCCAGGAATAACTATAAAGTCTCTAGTACCATTGTGTTATGGAAGTTAGAAAGGAAAGCAACTTCTGGGTATTCTTTGAAAGGAAGAGCACCATTTTCACCTTTTCAAAAGATCACCCAATTGTGTCCCTGAGGAATGTCAGATAACTAAGGGTTTTGAAGTCATGGATGAAGTATTCTTCAGATATTTACCAAAGGCTATGAAACAAAAAGTGGCACCTAGGAGACTGAATAAGATCTATCAGTGAGTACAGTACTCTTCTGGGCTTTCTAAATGTTAGAATCATAATAGCGTAACATGTCCTTAAGTGCTTTTGACAAACTATGACTTTGAAAGAAAAATAAATATTGGTCACACCAACAGAGCCTTTAGACTACTAGCATCATTATTACTCTGCATTTATTTAGTGTTTTTATCCAGTAAAAAATATAGATAAGAGTTTCTTATACAGACTCCCCATATATTGCAATTGTTTTACTATAGCAGTATTTGATTAACAACACATTGGTACAAACAACATTTCCACTCTACAATAATTACAAAAGAATTGATCTCTTTATCACTACATCCCTTTGATTAGCAGCAAATGTATCACAATGTCCAACTATTTCCAAAAACAGAGAAGAGATGACTTTTGAGTTCTAATTTATAAACAAAACCATAGAAATACTAATAGACTATATCATTAAAAGTGTTAAAATAAAAAATTGATGGTTTCATTTTATGCTTCCTTCTATGTTTTTTCCATATGAACTTATGAGTTTTATACAACTGCAGTAATGTCACAGCACTGTCATATCTCACCCAAGGAGAGTGTGGATTTCAAAGAGGAAAATAAAGAGACATATACAATGTGTTATACTCACCTTCTGCAAAACTTTCCATACTTTTTGATAAAATCCAATTGGGACTCTGTTAAGTGCTCCATCCAATCTTCTTCGGCGTTGCCATTGACCTTGACGATTATCTCTAGATATCTGTTGGCCATATGCACTAAAAAAGGACCCACTGCTCGGAGTCACAGAGATTCCAGGTGACTTGGGAGAAAAGGAGAGGAAAGAACATAAATCTAAAGTTATTGCTTATAAAGTATTATAGCATAGTGAATAATAAACACACTGCAGAATAAAAAAGCACATATTAAGTGTAACACCCAAAATAAAGTGGTTACAGTGAAGGCAGTAGATTTATGAGTAGCTAGTAGTAATGTAAACAGGTAGAGTGCTTTTAGAAAGCAGTATCATGATATATAAGAAGAGACACAAAAATGCTAAAGTCATGAGACATTCTTTGCTACTCTTTCCTTGGTTACTCTGTAAACTTCTAACTGGTGTATGGGTAAGTTTACTGTTATCATTAACCATAACACCAGCCTCAAGAAATTTGTAAGAGTTGAAACCGGGCCTCCATGGTGGTACAAGGGGTTAAGTCTCAGCACTGTCAAGCTATCACCAGCGATTGCAGCATGAGTTCGATCCCCGTCTGGCCATGGAGCAGACCCACATGGCACAGCAGAACTCTCTTGTCTCCCCAACTGCTCCCCTTAGCAGTGTATATCAGTGGATCTGCCTGTTCTGCTCCCCATTGTCTCTAGTGAATCCTCTTACCCCCTGCACCTCTGGCCTACACCCCAGTTCTTACAGGCATAAATAAATAAAATCTTTCTTTAAAAAAGGAGTTGAAACCAGACAAAGCATATTTTCTGACCATAATTAAATTAAATTAGAAATCAACAGCAGAAGGAAATTTGGAAAATTTAAAACATACAGAAATTCCACAACACACCCCTACATAAACTGTGGGTTAAAGAAGAAATCACGAAGAAAATTAGACCACTAAGATAAATGAAAATGAAAACATAATATACCAAAATGTATGCAGCTAAAATAGTGTTTAAAGAAAATTTGTAATAAATAATTGTATTAAAAAAAGAAAGATCTCAAATCAGAAACCAAACCTTCCATCTTAACACAATGCAAAAAGCAACAGAGACATTAACCAAAACACAGAGATAGCTCACTAATTGGGAGAAAATTTTTGCAGACAATAATAATGAGAAGGAACTGACCACAAAGATCTACAAAGAGCTGACAAAACTCAAGAAAAACAAAGTAAACAACCCAGTGAAAAAATGGCAGAAGAACTAAAAAGATGCTTCTCCAAAGAGGAAATGCAAATAGCCAGCAGACATATAAAAAAATGTTCAACATCACTAGTAATCAGGTAAATGCAAATCAAAACACAATGAGATACCAGCTTACACCAGTGAGAATGGCACATATCAAAAAAAAAAAAAAAAAAAAAACAAACTAGCAACAACAAATGTTGGCGAGGATGTGGAAAAAAAGGAACTCTCCTGCACTGCTGATGGGAGTGCAAACTGGTCCAACCACTATGGAAAGCTGTGTGGAGGTTCCTCAAACCACTAAAAAATGGGAGTTTCCATATGATCCAGCAATTCCACTCCTAGGAATCTACTCAAAGGACACAAAAACATTAATTCAAAAGGATACCTGCACTCCTGTGTTTATTGCAGCACTATGTATAATAGGTAAGCTATGGAAACAACCCAAATGCCCCAAAATAGATGACTGGATCAAGAAGATGTGGTATATATACACAATGGAATATTACTCAGCAATCAAAAAAGATAAACTCATGTCATTCTCAACAACGTGGAGCTAGATGGGATGATGCTCAGTGAAATAAGTCAGAAGGAATAAGAAAAATATTGGATGGCTTCACTTTATAGGAGGAATATAGAGGAACCAAATAAGACATCAGGGGAAAAATAATAACCAAAAAACCCCCAAAATTAACAGGCACCTGTAAATCAGAGACATTCTGTAGGGGAGTGGAGTGAGAGGGATCAAAACAGGGGAGGGAAGAGCACAAGGGACTTTGGTGATTATGCATGGGTGAATTGGTGGTGGGAATTTCACAGGAAATCATACATTGTACAAAAATGAAGGATGATGTAATAAATATATCTATATATTAAAAAGACAATGAAAAAAAAGAAGAGCAAAAGGAGCCAAATTCAGGAGGAGAAAATAATAATAGAGCAAAAAGAAATAAAAAGAGAATAGAAAAATAATACACAAAATCAGGGAAACCAAAACTTTTTATTTTGATGATAAATATTAACAAAATTCACAAATCTTCAGCTAGACAGACCAGACCAAGAAAAAATGAGGAAAGACACAGACAGAGGTGACATCACTTCTGACCTCATATAAGGATATTAAGGACATACCATCAGGAACCACAAGTCAAACTACATAGATGAAATGGACAAACTGCTAGAAAGACTAACTACCCAAATTGACTCAATGAGAAATAGAAAATCTGAATAGATCTATAACAGAGACCAAATTAGTTATTACAAAACTTCCCACAAAGAAAAGTTCAGGCACAGATAGCTTTACTGGTTAATTATATTAAACATTTAAAGAAGAATTAATATCGGTTCTTTACAAACTCTACCAAAAAAGAGAAAAAATTCATTTTGTGAGGCAAAAAAATACCTATATGCTAAAATCAGACAAAGACATTTGAAGAAAACTACAGATCAATATTCTTTATGTATACAGATACAAAAATCCTCAATAAAATACTAGCAAACCGAATTCAGTGACATACAAAGGATTATGCACCATGATAAAGTAATATTCACTCCAGAATTTCAAGGTTATTTTACCACCTAGATATCAATTAATGCAATACACCATATCAACAGAATAAAGAATAAATACCACATCATTCTAATAGATGCATAGAAAGTATTTAATAAAATATTCATTATAAACACACTAGACCAACTAAGAACAGAGGGGGAACTTTCTCAATCTAATAAAGGACATATTTAAAAACTATACAGTTGACATAATCAATTATGTAGACTGTGAGTATTTTTCCCTTAAGAATCAGAACAGAGACCTCCCTGGTGGCACAGGTGGTTGGGACACAAACTATGAAGCTGTCTGCAGCCACTGCAGCACAAGTTTGATCCCCAGCTGGCCAGGGAGCCACCTACATGGCTCAGCAGACCTCTCCTGACTGCCGCTGCTCCCCTCAGCAGTGTACTTACTTGGGTCAATCTGCCTGTTCTGTTCCCTACTCTGTCTCTGGTGAATCCTCTCACCACCACCACCACCACCACCCCCCACCCACCCCACCCCGCGCCTCTGACCTATACCCCAGCTCTTGTATGCATAAATTTAAAAAAATAAAAAATAAAAAAAATCAGGACAAATGAACAATGATGTAAAAAATATATTAAAAAATTAAAAAAAAATCAGTAGAAAACAAAAAAAGAATCAAAACAAGACAAGGATATTTACTCTTCATACTTCTATTCAACATTGTTCTGGAAGTTCCAAGCAAAGGCTATTAAACAACAAAGAAAAGAAAGTCATGCAGAGTGGAGAGAAGAAATAAAATTGTTTCTATTTGCACATGACATGATCTTGTATACAAGGTATTCACTAAAAAATAATTAGAACTAATAGTGAATTCAGTCATATTGCATAAGATCAATATATTAAATAGCAGCAATCAAAAATCTGAAAATAAAATTAAGAAAACAATTTCACTTAAAATCACATAAAAAAATACTTAGGAATAAATTTAACAAAAAAGTATAAATTATATACCATGAAAAATACAAAATACATTGAAAGAAACGAAAGACCTGAAAATGGAAAGAAATTCTATGTTCACGGATCAGAAGGCTTAACACTGTAAAGATGGCAATACTCTTAAAATTGATCTACAGAAGGAATATAATCTTTATCAAAATCCAGCTAGGTTCTCTACAGAGCTGATCCTATCATTCATATGGAAATTCAGGAGACCCATCTGAATCTTTTAAAAAGATCAAAGATGGAGGCCTCACATTCCAATTTCAAAATATGTAACAAAGCCACAGTGATTAAGACAATGACATAGGCATAGGTTAGGCATATTGATCAATGGAATAGAATTATAATTTCAGAAATACACTATTACATTTTTTGTCAATTTTTAACAAGGTTCCAAGAAAATTAAATTGGGGAAAAACAGTCTTTTCACCAAGTAGTGTGGAACAATTATATATGCACATGCAAAAGAATGCAGTTGGATTCCCCCACCTCATACCATACACAAAAATTAAATCCAAATGGGTCATTGTGCATAAAAAGGTTACTATAGCAGGTTAGAAATGCTATTCTTGGAAAGCCCTGCTTACAAGATTGGTTCTTGGCTGTTCTTTGGAAAACCTGGATTGTTGGAGGGTTCCTACTCCCAGGATTGATAACAGTGGTTTACTGTGCCAAAACTGTTTGTGTAAACACTATGATCTTTGTTGAAAACTTGTTTTCCTTCTGGGAGTCTAGAGCTTTGGTATGTGCCAGACAGGGGCCATTTATATTACCAGCCCCCAGTAAAATGTTTGGGTGCTAAGTCTTTTTTTTTTTTTTTTGGAAGCTTAGAATATTTTATTTTTTTATTTAAATATTTTATTTTATATAATTCTTACATCTTTTTTCATCTTTGCACAATGTATGCAGTTTCATTTTGGTTATATTCCCCATACAATTGCACCCCCATCTTATTTTGACTCTAGTCCTTCCTTTTTCCTTTCCCCGCCCCTCCGTTCCGGCCCCCCACCCCAACCCCGTAGTGTGTCTCTGGATTATAGTTGGTTGTTGATTTTGATTTTTACTTTGTATTGATTAGTCTATTTCCTGGTCTCTTATTTAGGTTTTCTAAATTCCTGCTATGAGTGAGACCATCCGGTATTTTTCTTTTTCTTTCTGACTTATTTCGCTGAGCATGATCCCTTCTAGCTCCATCCATGTTGCTGCAAACTGCGCATCAGTTGATTGCTGAGTAATATTCCATTGTGTATATATACCATGTCTTCTTGATCCAGTCATCTATTTTTGGGCACTTGGTTGGCAGTATTTCATACATGTTGACACAATTCACTGCAGGGGGAATTAAGTATATGCTATCTTGTGTGTTCTACTAGAAGCTTGTTTTTCCTGGACTT